GCCTACCCCCACCGCCCCCCTGAGCCTTTCGACCCCATCGGCGGATTTACCAGCAGAACAAACGACCGCGTTGAAGCCGTTGCGCACTCCATTCACAAGGGAATATTTTGAGCTTGAGCAGCACTGGTATCCATGGCAACGCGCGGCTCTGTCTATCAAGTGCTCACAATATAGCGGGAATGTTCTGGAACAGGCCGCAGCATTGGATAACAAGAGTCTCGTTACTTTCAATCAAAGGGGGGTAAAGCCGCTGTTATTTGATCACATGGATATTCACCCACGCGGCCCATGAATTAACCGGAGGCTAATTCGTAGCATTGAATGGTCCATTTTGGCAATTAATTACATTTTTTGAGTCATGTACTCTTCAAGAAGAGCAAATATTTGACTTGAATTGATCGCCGTGAAGCAAAAAGTATTCCAAAGAGACTCCTTAAGAGCTACATACTGTAAAGCCAAGCATATTGAATGGTAAAATTGGCATCAGAGTGAAAAGTATAAGTTCAAATCAAGATTCATTTGCTTTTTTTAGCCTTAAAAAAGAAAAAAAAAAAGGTAGATGGCAAATAAAATGGAACTTGAATGAAGGTAGTAGCCAGTGAACAGGGCACGCTAAAGCAAGCGCGTTTTTCATTCGAATGTTTTCTTCTTCTTAATTCAGACGTGTAAACGAAATCTTCCTGAAAGCGAGCTATCTAGGAAATGCTTTTTGGCCAAAAATATCATATCGTTGGGATCATGGACTGACAAGGAGCTAAAGGCAATTAGCATACTGTAGCGCGATAAGGGCTAACTGGTAGCGGCGAACGCTAAAGCAAACCGCAAGATGTCTCATATAATTCATTTCTACATCAATATTGGATTTAGATTCATCAGGCTGAGTTACATCCGTTCTAGCTGCTGCTATGACATTAGCCGTAGCAACTTTAGAAGAAGATCATAATAGTTTTCGAAAGGAAAAGCGCTGGTTTAAAAAGGTTTGATTTTTGCTCATTTGATCTTTGACCGCTTCCATTACGCTGAATATTAAAGTCCTCGAAAGTAAGCACAGCATTGCTAACATTCGCGTCCATTTTTGCCGCTTGAACCAGATCTCTGCTGGCATTTCTATATTTTGACAACCATCACAATGGGGTGTCGTCGTGTGGCGTTATTAAAAAAAAAAAAAAAAGATCCTAAAGCCCGACGGAGCATCTGGCGGCCGTTGCTAGGCGACCATTGTTTGGGGAATGGGCTTGAGCAAACAGAAAATGGGATTGTTTAAGCAGGTGCGCGCCACAATGGCCGACGCAGGCTCATCCTAACGCCGATGACGACATTTCTTCCTGGATCGCTTTTTCAAATGAAATGAGATTCGGACGCCTGCTCCTCCATGCGAATGGGAGCCGTATGGCCGGGAGGTGGCTCGTTGGCTAATCGAGGCTTGAGCGCCGGTGTGACATGACAGTTATGACGATTCGGACCGAGAAGGTCCCCACCAGAATGATCTCCATCGAACTCCAACTGAAATTGTTCAATGGATGGCGAATCAACAAAAACATTGCGCATCCTCGTTTTGGATCTTGCTGGCGTTTCGAAGGCCCCCTCTGACCTTTTGCCATGACTTCTGTTGGCTATGTTTACAAACGCGCGATCCCTTTTTACGCCGTAGTCCAATTTCAGTTTCAAGGCACGCGCACGCACAGACCGTTCCAGAGACTGCCCCCTTCGCGTGACACTTAGACATGACTTGGACTCTTGACTGTTTCCAGATCCCCCCCCCCATGACCCGTCCTCGACCCCACGGGTGCTTTCTGCAGGGAAACTGTGCAAATGTGGCGGAAGCGCACGCGAGCTCTTTCTTGAACACCTTCTCCCTTCTCCCAGATACAAGGCACGCATTCTTGAGTTGGAAGATTCTCAGCACCAGAACTGAAAGTCCACGGCACCATTTTCTGGTAGAACATTCATTCAGGGACCGTATGTGGTCGGTTGCCCACTCCGGAGTGACGCTGTTATTATTTCTAACCATCAGTCGTGCAGAAAGAGGAGGGTCCACTCCGGTTTTCATTTGTGTGTCTCTTTAAAACACGCTTGTCAACAATGCAGTCGCAATGGAGCTCACGTTACAAAACGGGCTAAACTATTCGAGGTGGGCGGGGGGGGCTTGTACAGGAAGAGGCTGTTGTCATGGAGATGGAGGTGACCTGTTCTATGACTGCTAAGACGACGAACGGTCCGGGGTCTGATGAATATTTGTGCCGTGCATAGAAAGCGGCGCACGCAGGCCGCGGGCCTGCCCT